ATTGCCACATACTTTTAATTTGCTTTTGTGATAGAATCAGAAGCAGAAGGTAACTTGTTAATTTAATGTAGATGGAACAGAGCCCAGTTATTGGCCTGTTTCATATTTTCCTTCTCAGAGGAAGGAAAAGTTTGAAACTTAGTAAATGTAAAACTCCAATACTTTTGCAACTTATAAATTAGAACAATTGAAATAAGGGGATAAACTCTTTGTAATTAGTGTGAATGTGATCATTATTCTATTTTCATGCTCTGAAAATCAGGAAGAAATCAAAATAAAATGCTTATGTAGATGCTTCAATTAAAAATGACAGATCTTGTTATTCATACTAGTAATATATAAAATAAGTTAAAAAATACAGATTCATGACCAATAATAAAAGAAAAGATTTATATATGCCTACACACATATATTTCCACACACACACATACATAAATAATTGTGCTTGAAAAGTCAATATATCTAGAAAATAATTTAAATGAGGTATTTTGGTAAATTATAAAAGTTATATTTTTTAGCTCCAGCTAGTGTGGCTCACTGGATTGAACACTGGCTTGCTAAGCAAAGTGTCCCCGGTTGGATTCCTGGTCAGGGCACATGCCTAGGTTGTGGGCCAGGTCCCCAGTAGGGGGTGCTCAAGAGGGGGGCATACATTGATGTTTCTCTCCTCTTTCTCATGCCCTCCCCTTCTGTCTGAAAATAAATAAATAAAATCTTTAAAAATTATATTCTTTATTAAAACAATCTGTCATCTAACCGGACCACCTCTCTCACCAGGCTCCCATACTCCAGCTAGGAACCAGAGAACTAGGGACACGCCCTAAGCCTAGGAACCTGGGACATTATCCCCTTCAGCAAATCCACAGGAAGCTCAGGAAACCTAACTAACCCTGCCCTGGGTTGCCATAATTAAGTGGCTCCATGCTGCCTGCTTCTGCTGTGACTCCCTGTAGGACAGCTGCACCCACTTTCTAACTGTAGGCTACAAAGAGCTCTGCCTTCCATATCCCCAAGATTACTTTGTTCCAGTTCACCATCCAAAGAATCTTTAAACTTTATAAAAGTGTAATGGAATCCCCATTCTCAGTTCTTAGACCAATCTTGTTGAAGGACTCCCAAATACGATCAAGTACATGTTCACAGATTTACTAAAACCAAACCAAACAAACAAAAAAAGGATGCTACTTTTTACAGTGGTGATGAGTAAAGATAACTCAAATAGATAGTTTAAGCGGAAAATCAAAATCTTTTGAAGAGCTTACTCAGAAATTCTTGCACAATCATTTAAACATTAATTGCACTCATCATTTGATGAATCCAAGGACCCAATTTATTCCTGCCTTTCATGTAGTTTGAAAAGATATAAAGTACTTAAGCCATGTCTGTAATCAAAATAGGTTTCAGCATTGCTGGTAAATTAATCAAAATATTTTCGTGTAAAGGATATAAGTTAAAGAAGAGGTATTCAGTTCACTAAGTCAAAATTCATTAAATATTGGCAATCTTCATTAATACAGATCCTCACCCCATTTTTAAATGACTAATAACTTAATAAACCATGCAGGGATATCTACGGTCTCTCAAGGTGTGCTCGTTTTCAACCTCCTTTATAAAGCATTATTGGTGATTCTAGCAGGTTCCTGAGCCCTTCCAGAGGCATACTTGGAAGTCTGCCTTCTTTTTTTTTTTTTAAGATTTTATTTATTTATTTTTCAAGAGAGAGGAAGGGAGAGGTAAAGAGAGGGAGAGAAAGAGCAATTGGCTGCCTCTCACATGCCTTCAGCTGGGGACCTGGCCCACAATGCAGGCATGTGCCCTGACTGGGAATCAAACCAGCAAAGCTTTGGTAAGCAGGCCAACACTCGATCTACTGAGCCACACCAGACAGGGCAAAATCTGCAGTCTTAAGCAGCTTTCAAGTGGGTTTTCTTGAATTCTGAAGTTTGTGTCTTCCTAAAAAAAAAGATGGAGGGGTGACAATACTTTCTGTCTCATTCTTGTCAATGCACCCTTTTCTGAATTCCCAAATCAATTTAATTCACAGATTCTCATCGTCCTTGCCTTTTCCCCAGCAAAGCTGGAGAGATCAGAAATACAAATTTGTCTGGTGTTGACAGCTCAGCTCAAAGTTTTCTGAAAAGAATTAGTAAAATGAAGAGAAATAATGAACACAACTGCCATTGTTGAATATACTGGTATATTCAATGGTACAGGTTAGGTGTTTTTCATATGTCATGTTATATTTAAAATTCTAGGAAGTGCTGTAGATAATTCTCTCATTTAGTAGCTGAAGAAACTAAGGCTCATAGGGGTTAAGTAGTTTGTCTAGGATCTCACACACGTAGTTACTGAGGAGCCTGGGTTAGAACACAGGTCTTTGCTTCAAACACCTGTGCTTTTGCTACATTGCCTTTAATCACAAAAAATCAAATCAGTTATAGGGGGTGGAGAAAGATAAAAGAGAAAATATTCCCCTGTGATCAAATCCTCAGTTGCTTCTCAATAGCTAAAGTGTTACTTAACCTTTTAAGGACTGTCCTACTGTCTTTATTCCACACTCTCCCTGCTTTTTTCAAACTGTCAGCTCAGTCCTGGCATGTCCATTGGTAAATGCTTCCCCCTCTGGTTCATCATCAATGATGTCATTGACTCTGAACTACTGTAAAATGAAACATACGTATGTCTCACCTTAAGCTCTAATTTTCTTATACAGTAGACACTGACCATGCATGCTATTTCAATGGAATCAATGAACTTTACTATTCTAATTAAAAGTTAATTAAAGTGGAAAAAAATTAAAATCCTCATGCCTGGTCACACACTGGTAGCTTCATTGGCTGGTTGCTAGTGGACTGAGTAGTTCAAACATAGAACATTTCTATTTGGCAGTGGTGCTTGTATGTATGGGTGAAAGGAAACTTTATATTTATAGTTAGTACCTTTGGTATAGCAACAAATATTATCTGTATATTACAGTTATTTTGATAATACTTAAAAATCTTAAGCACCTGAAGTTTATGTTTTTTACTTACAATTACACTCTCTTTTAACTCCTTAAAAAGAGTGGCTTGTAAAGTGTTTAAAGGTACTGATGATAGCAATGTGCACATTACACTGATTGGACACTCATAGCTGCACAAGTTCTAAAGGGAAAATCAGAGTTTTTTAATTACATACAAGTCTTCATGAAATCAATTTTCCCTTTATGGCCAAAGAGCCCTAGCCATTAAGACCGTTGGGTGCGGCTCTGTACCTCGTGTGACAGCTTGTGTCCTGGACTCTCATTGCCCTGGCATTTGCATAGCAGGCAACCTTGGAAGACAGAGCTCCCTCCAGGGCAGGGGCTGGACGGAAGGTTCCCCAGCAGGTGAAGGACACTACATCTCTTTGCAAAAGGGTTGGTCAGGTTTGCTGGAACTCTCCTTGCAAATACTGGGAGGTCCTTAAGCTTGTGGTAGCTCAGCCATGACACAAACTCACTGCGTGTGTAGTGCCCTCGTGGTGTGCTTTCCATCTCCTCCTGGGATCTGGTCTGGGGGGCCAGGGAAGCCGGGGTCACCGAGGCTCATGCTGCCTGCCGGGCCATGACTAATAACGCTGTCCCTAAGCCAGGAGTCTGTGTTGTGCAGCCAGCGTCCCTGCAACTGTGACTGGCCCCCACGCAGGCCCAAAAGCTGGGTGAAACCTCAGACCCCACAGAGCTCTGGAGGAAAGGAAACAAATTAGAAGCTCGTAGGTGTGGGTGCCAAAAGGGGTTCCAAAGCAAATAACCTCTCAGGGTGACGTGGTCCTCAGTACCTAAGTGGGCAGGTTGTGCTGGGTCATCACACCTCAGGCCTCCACCCTTCAGAGTAAAAGGGGTGTGTGTGTGTGTGTGTGTGTGTGTGTGTGTGTGTGTGCCTTAAGCAAGCCCTGCCCACTGTTCTCCTGCCTTTAGGTTAACAGACCCGAGTGATGTGGACCCACCCTCAGGAGAGCACCCTTCTGCCACCCCTGAGCTCTCCCTCCCTCCCATGGTCTTCCTTTTAGGTTCCTTCCTTGGTTTCAGTTGCATGGAAGAAGCTGCACATGGTCACTCTGAGAAACATTTTTCAGTCTGTTCAAATCTGGTGTCCAGCCATATCCTCTGTTTGGCTCCAATAAGTTTTAATAATGATTCTCTGCAGTTTTAATGTCCATACACAGATGTAGGTATGTCCTGGGAAGCGGGGAACAACCCACAGTGAGGGAGATGGGCAGACTGGTCCAAAGGGGGATGAAAGTGGGAACAAAACACATCATTTTATTTTCTAAAAACTCCTCATCCATTTAAAGTTTGTCCAGTTCAATGTAGGCCTCAAAATAGGGGGTAATATTAATCTGTGTCAAAAACAAACAAAACACCTGAAGACCCAGGTTCTTCAGAATAAAATAGATACCTAATGAGCTTTCTAATATTCATCTACTTTTTCCTCCCCATTGTCAGTTCTAAAGGGCTCACCCTAAGCCCACCACCCCCTTGTTCTTGCTTTCCCAACCTGAAGCAGGGATTCAGTAAAATGCTCATAAAAACTGGCCTCTCTCCTACTCACCCATCCCGAGACCTTGTCCCACCCTATGCCTCCCTCCATGCCCTCCACACCCCCCAATGTGGCAGCTGTGTAACCCCCCACACCCCCCCTCACCCCCAGCTTCCCCCACCCCTTCACACACCCTGATGTGGAAGGTCTGCAAGCATGATGCCTTCCTCACCCCAACACCCCAATGATTTTCCTACCCCCATGTCCCCCTCCGCCCCTCAAAACACGCACCAATGTTGCGTGTCCAACCCCATGCCTCCCCATCCCCTGACATTGCCCCACCCTTTGCCTCTCCACACCCTTCACACTCCCAGATGTGGCAGGTGTCCACCATGTGCCCACAAAGATGGGGAAACTATACCTCCCAGAAAGCAGTCAAAGGACAGCCCATTCAACAGTCAGGTGTTTTATTAAGGTGATAGTTTATCATTTACTTTTTATTCACATGGCATATTTTCTCGTCCAAGCTTGCGCCGTAGTATTATACTTGTCCCTATCCATTAAGTACATTCTTGCAATAGATGGAACTAAGGTGTTATTAAGGTTGGGGTCACATAGCATGGAGGTGATGGACAACAGTACTTTGGATGTGGTCAGTGTGGGAGACCACCGGGACTTGAGAATATCTATATGGATATTTCCTTTTCTGTCAATATTGGGATGGTATATCCGGGTGGTGAAGTAAACCCATGGAGGGTGAAAAGGGTACCCACATGGGAAGTGTATTTTTAGTGAAAAGATTCCTCCCTTGTAGGGGCTATTGGGGGGACCCATGACGGTCCCGCTCCATGTGAACATGTCATTCCCCACCGGCCCTATGGACCACATGGGAGGAGGGTCCTTAGTGATGTCTGTCAGTTCTTTCTCCAGGCGATTTACAGCCCTGGACAGGTCCATGGGTACAAGGATTGTCCCAGCATCCTGGTAGAGACAAGGGGGAAACCACAAGTCAGGCGGGACCATGGTTTAGGGTGGGTGTGTCTTAGAGGAACCGGGGTTAGAGGGGCAGACACCTCCAGGTTGGTGGGTAAGAAGGCTGGAGCTGGGCTGTGGGGTGTGAGGGGGTGTGGGGGGATAGAGAGGGTGGGGGGAGAGGAAAGGGGAGTTGGGACTTGGCTGGACCTGAGGGGCTACTGCTCACCTGTGTCCCGCTGGTCCCTGGCACCTCCATCTCTTCTGCCTCCATCTCTTCTTCCTCCATGTTTGCCTCTTCCATCTCTGCCTCCTCCATCTCTACCTCCTCGATCTCTACCTCCTCCATTTCTGCCTCCTCCATCCCTGGCTCCTCCATCTCTTGGTCCTCCATCTCTGGGTCTGCTGCTGAGCCCCTGAGCCCCACGGCTGCACTACCCGGACACAGCGCCACCCTGTGACAGGACCAACTGCTCGCCTGCCTCTCCCCTCAGCCCTGCTGTGTACACTGGTTGCTTGGGGCAGGACAGGGTATGCTCTGTGACATCACAAGGGCCCGCTGATGACATCAGCAAGTCAGGGGACAGGGCCAGGGGAGATAGGGGGCTTGAATGAGAGTGGAAGGTGGGAAGGACCATGGAGTAGAGTGGGGGGGTATAGGGTAGGAGCAACCATAGAGGTGAGTGGGGGGTGGAGGACAATGGGGGAGAGTAGAAGGGAGTGATTTGGGGGTGGAAGGGAATAGAGAGTTATAGGGGAATGGGGGGTGGGGAGTGGGAGGGTCCATGGAGGGGAATGCAGGGAAATGGAGAGGGTGGAAGGCAAGAGGGACCACTGAGGGGAATGGGGGTGGGACCAAGGAGGGGAATGATGGGGAGGTAGGGTGAGAGGCCAGGGGAAGGTAAAGGGGGAGGGGTGAAAGGAGCCCAGACTCTCTGGCTGGCCGACTGCAGGCTTCCTGCCCTGATTAGTTGGGTCTCAAGCACCCCCACCCCAGAGTCACCCAATGCAGAGGAGCCTTTGGTTCCATGAATTCCCACACCCCTCACTCACCCAGACTCACTTCTGTGAACGCTCCCCCCCCAGCTTTGTGCTAATCTCTCTACCCACCATTCTTACTCCTGAGCTTGAGCTCCCTCTCTTTCTATGGACATAGATGCCCTGGAGAGTGAGCTGTATCCCTATGGGCCCTTTAAGATGGGGTCTTCCCTCATAAAGAAGTTGTACACCAACACCCACACCATAAGGGGGTCCTAGTCATAAGCAGTCATTGTGTACCTGTGTCGGTGATAAAACAATACATTCTCATATGATTGTGGGAATCTTCCTATCTTGATTGTTGGGCAACTGTGGAATTTCAGTCCATTCACCAAAAGTGTTTTTGCTTAAAAAGTATCAAGAATCAGCAATGCTTTTTCCCAAGACTTGCAGTGTACACAACTTTGTCTTTAATTGCTTTATCATATTGTAATCTTGTAAAAACACTGAAACGGCAGTTAAACTCAAAATGGATAACACCAGCAGTACACATAAGTCACTGAAATTGACACACCCAGCAGCATGAACAGCTTTGTGCAAATTTACACCTGCATAGTCACTGAGGACTGTTCTGGCTGACAAAAAAAAAATTACAATATGCAATGAATTGTAAATTACATTCTAATGTCAGAGAGAACAGCATATGCAGAAAAGTGTGCATCTTCAAATACAACAATTATTAAGATATTTGTATTTATTTCTGTCAAAGGAAAAGAAGGCATATACATAGAATAGAGGCACTTATTTAGAATTTACACAGAAGCTGAGGTCTTCATTTGTCTTTAATTATTGCCCAACTTTCATGAAAAACTTATAGGCCAGGACTGGCCAGGTAGCTCAGTTAGAGCATCATCCTGATATACTAAGGTTGTGAGTTTGGTTCCCAGTCGGCGTACATACAAGAATCAACCAATGAAGGCATAAATAAGTGTAATAACAAATCAGTGTTTCTTTTTCTCTCTCTTGCTCTCTTTTACCCTTCCTCTCTCTCTTTCTCTCTAAAATCAACACATTAAAATAAAAGAATGCAATTACTAACATAAAAACATATAAAAATATATACTACACTAGTGAATGTAAATATATATATAATATTCATACAAGAATCAACAATGAATGCAAGACTAACTGTAACAACAAATCACTCTCTCTCAAAAATCAATAAATAAAACTTAAAAAAAAAAACATGTAAGCAGACTTTCAGTTCTTACCCCAAAATACAAAGAGCTTGGCTGTCTTCTCTCCCACCCTGACAACAACAAAAAAATCTGAAAATACCTGAGAACCAATGATTCTTCAATCTTTCAGAAAACAGAAATGATGGGGCCAACCCACTGACCCGCAAACTGAAGACACATGTCAACAGAGAGAATCACAGTCACAGGAAAGCAATGCCTCTGATGGTGCCAGCAACTCAAAGGACACTTAAAAGCTAATTAAAAATTACAGGAGCTATGGATGGTGTGGCTCAGTGGATTGAGTGTGGGTCTGGGAACCAAAGGGTTGTCAGGTGGATTCCCAGTCAGGGCACATGCCTGGGTTGTGGGCCAGGTCCCCAGTAGGGTGGTGCTCAAGAGGCAACCACACATTGATGTTTCACTTCCTCTCTTTCTCCTTCTCTTTCCTTCTCTGAAAATAAATAAATAAAATCTTTAAAAAAATTGCTGGAGATTTAGCAGGGACTAGCTTGTGATTTATGAATTCCTGGGAGCCCAAGTTTGAAAAGAGGGTTACAATATTTATGATTTCTACATACAGGAGCCCCTAGATTCTCAAGGTGAAGGTCAGACAAAAGTTACCTTTTGCTTCTAACAGAGAAAGAGAAAAGCAACCATTTAAAGTACATAAAGACAGAGTTCCAGCCAAGTTGTAGGCGGAGGTACAAACCCTTCGTTCCCTTGTGCAATCAAAAGGATGATAACAACCAATCTAAAATCAATAAACAACCAGAAGTGCCAGAAAATCAAACTGCATGGAACTCTGATAACCAACGAATTAAAGAAAAAGTCAATCAGAATGACCAGACGGACAGCACTGCACCCCACTAAAGAGGGTTGCCCTGCCCTGGTGAATATCTAAGGCCCCACCCACTTACAACTTAACAGGTTCCCCAAGACAAAGAAATATAGCCCAAATGACAGAATAGAGCAAAATCTCAGAAAGAGCTAAGCGGAGAGAAGATAGCCAACCTATCTGATGGAGAATTTAAAGCCTTGGTAATCAAAATGCTCACAGATCTGACTGAGCTTGGTTGAAAAAATAAAAGAACAAATGAGAGATACACAAAATGAGATAAAGCAAAATATTCAGGGAACCAGCACTGACAGGAAGGAAACCAGGACTCAAATCAGTGCCTTAGACCAGAAGGAAGAAAGAAACATTCAACCAGAATGAAGAAACAAGAGTTCAAAAAAATGAGGAGAGGCTGAGGAACCTCCAGGAGAACTTCAAATGTTCCAACATCTGAATCATACATGTGACAGAAGGAGAAGAGGAAGAGCAAGAAATTGAAAACTCATTTGAAAAAATAATAATGGAGAACTTCCCAATCTGGCAAAGGAAATAGACTTCCAAGAAGTCCAGGAAGCCCAGAGAGTCCCAAAGAAGTTGGACCCAAAGAGGAACACAGCAAAGGCACATCATAATTACATTAGCCAAGATTAAAATGAAGGAGAGAATCCCAGAAGCAGCAAGAGCTAAAGGAGATGGTTACCTACAAAGGTGTTCCCCTTAGACTACCAGCTGATTTCTCAAAGGAAACCTTGCAGGCAAGAAGGGGCTGGAAATAACTTTTCAAAGTCATGAAAGGCAAGGACCTACATCCAAGATTACTCACTCTATCCAGCGAAACTTTCATTTAGAATGGAAGGGAAGGGAATTCAAGGGGAAAAACGGGGAGGGATTTTGAAGAACAAGTATGAAAGACACAGGGATGAGGACTGTGGGTGGGTGGGGGAATGGGAGGGAGGTGGGGAGACGGGGAGGGGGGCTGGGATGGGAGAAATTGACAAAAAAAACTGTACTTGAAAAATAACTAAATAATTTTTTTAAAGTCAAAAAAAGTCAAAAAAAAAAAAGAAAGAAAAGAAAAAAAAAAAGAATGGAAGGGCAGATCAAATGCTTCCCAGATAAAGTCAGTTTCAAGGAGTTCATCATCACCAAGTCCCTATTATATGAAATGTTAAAGGGACTTATCTAAGAAAAACAAGATAAAAATTTGAATAATAAAATGACAACAAACTCAACAACTATCAACAAATGAACCTAAAAGAAAATAAAAACAACAAAAACAAAACCTAAGCAAACAAGCAGAAAAGGAACAGAATCAGAGAAATGGATATCACATGGAAGGATTTCAGTGGTGAGGGGGAACAGAGGAACAGGAGGGAAAAAGTACAGGGAAGAAGAAGCATAATTAGTATGCATAAAACAGATGGGAAAGACAAAAAAAAATGGTATAGAAAACAGCCCTGGCTGGTGTGGCTCAGTGGATTGAGCGTGGGCCTGTGAACCAAAGATCGTGGTTCAATTCCCAGTCAGGGCACATACTTGGGTTGCAGGCCAGTTCCAGCAGGGGATGCACAAGAGGCAACCATACATTGATATTTCTCTCCCTTTCTCCTTCCTTTTCCCTCTAAAGATAAATAAATAAAATCTTTAAAAAATGGGATAGGAAACAGAGAACTCAAAGAACTTATATGCACAACCCATGGACATGAACTAAGGGGGGGTGGAAGGCTGGAGAGTTGGGGGATGCAGGTCAGAGGGGGGATGAAGGGAGAAAATTGGGAAAACTGTAATGGCATAATTTATAAAAATACTTAAAAAGAATTGAGCAATGTAAAAAAAGGATAAATTCAAATGTTATTAATATGACCATCAAGAAAAAAAAGAAATAAAGTACATGAAGATAGGGCAGGGGAGAGTAATGGGGGAAGAGTGGGGAC